CTGAAATTCTATGAAAACTAACCCTTACTGTCTCCAGTATGAGAATGTTCTTGCATATGAGAAACAGAAAATCTGCCTGATTTTGTAATAAGAACACATTCAAGCAGTTACTAAAATAAGTTGTATCCCCTCCCTTCCTTTGAAAGGATTTGCATAGGTCCTTGAGAAAACTGTCTCTGGAACTGGCACCCTGGCACACTGAAGATCCACAAGACAACAGGGAATCTGTCCGAGTTGAAGACCTCCAGTTCATAGTAGATGCCATTTTGGAAGAAATAGAAAATAAGGAAAAGGTAATTCTTCCTGGGGGTTCATAATCACAAGTTACTGTGGAATTCTCGAATGTGTTTTTTGCACAGTGATTAGATTTGTGCATTTGAAAGCCTTGCGGGGTTTAACACATAGCTGTTTGAAGACATTCAATAGTCAGAGACTATTTTAATATAATGGATAAATTCACCTCGGGGAGGACTGCTTTAATCAAAGTCATTTGACCAGTGAGGAATTTGCATTGCCCTGTAGACTCAGGTTATTATCTTATTCTGTCTGTTCCTCAGTCAGCATTGAGAATACATAAACTAAGCAACAGAGAGGAAAGCTTTCCAGACAGTTTTTTTTGTTTGTTGGATATTTGTGTCTGAAAACTCTCTTTACAGTGTCTTCAGATTTAAGAATATTTGAAATCCTGTAGTTAAGGGCAGTTACACCTGTTTTTCTTCATAGGCTAGTTTTAAGAATGCTTATTGTTTAAAAGAATCCTTGCTTTGTTAAGCAGTAATGCTGACAAGTTGCTCCTTCTGCTTGCTACAGAACAGCCAGACACCATCTGTACCAACCCTGTTAGCGATAGTCTCTCACTTCCAGAAGTTGTTTGACGTGAATTCTCTCAGTGGCGTTTATCCACGAATGAATGAGGTTTACACAAAACTTGGGGAAATGACCAATGCTATGAGAAACCTCCATGAGCTCCTGGAACTAGGTAAAGACTTGCCACCTAGCATTTGTTCACACTATTTTCCAAAGGGAGAAGACAAGCAAAAGGCTGATGTCTCCATAGAAAATGTGTTGAGCTGCTAGGAAATGAGTAAACTTGGTATATTCCTCACTGGGAAGATAAATATAGGTCAATTGGCAGTTTAAATAGCAAATCCCCTTTATTCGTAAGCCTTTAGTAGTTGCTGAGGAATACTAGGGAGGCAGAAGGAAGGAGTAACAGTGGAAATTGATTAATTCGTGACCATCTACTCTAAAGATGACAAGTTTAAGAAAAAATTACCTCTGCTGTAGATTTCTCCTCAGTGATTCATTCAAGTGTAGTTATGTCCAGTCCTCAGAAACTTCCATCTTACGCTACTAAACTTAACTTAAAAAACAGTTGTTGAATGTCAGAAACTAAGTGCCAGTCCTCAGAGACATACTTAGTACTCAGTTACTGTCCAGTACCCTTCTCCTCTAGTTTGTACTGCCAGAGAACAGCAGCTCCTGCTGCTGCTCTCTGGTGTGAAGGTTTGGCTGCAGTGTAGGCCATGCAGCCTGAGAGCAAGGGAGAAAAGGACAAGGACCCTGTTGCCTTCAGTCTCAGCAGTGAAAGCAGGTAACATCCAATACCAAAACAAGTTGTGGGTGTTCACAAAATATTTATTGACCAGGTTCCTTGTTAGCCCAGCCCCTCTACTGTACTTCTGCTGTGTTACAGGAACCTAATGAACAACACTCTCTGGATACGTAATGTTCCGCTGACATTGTAGGGTGCACTTTAGTACCATCTCTGCTGGGAAAACACACAGCTCCAACAAGTTTTTTTAGCCTCTAGAGGATTAGTAAGAGATTCACCATTCTTAGCTAACATGAGCTTATTTCTGACCATAGGCATTTAGTTTTGTGAGAATGATGGAACTTGTATACCTAGGTGTGGGAAAACCAAATAAAATCTGGGCACCTGCAAGAACTGGACTGTGTCAAAAATACTTTCCTGTTAACGCTGTTACAAGGAACATGAAGCATTTGTTTTTCCACAGACAGTTCAGCTCCACCCACTGTGGTGGTGGATACTGTTGGGAAACTGTGTGACATAATTAATGAGAACGTGACTGAGCAGGTACAGCAGCTTCTGGGGACCCAGGATGTCCACAGGTATGTGCAGCAGCTCCAGCAGTGGCCATTCTTCAAAAATCAGATCGAGTAATTGAGAGAACTGGCTAGAATGGATTCTGAAAGAAACTTCAATCATTTGTTACAAAGTCAGCGAGCTGCATAGTACAGGAGTTGCTACCATCCTGCATGGAACAATTCCTGAATCTTTTCAAAAGTATAAAGGGGGCAAAGACAAAAATTATGGTCAGAAGGTTCCAAAACGCTTTCTTGGCTTGCATGGATGAGGTGATCAAAGAAGGCTTCATAGGATGCACGTTGCATGAGGAGACAAAGCAAATACTGCGTGTGAGTGGGGAGGAGAAAGTGTTGCAAGGTTTCAGTTGTAATGTACCAGTTGCTAAGAGAGTTGGCTCACGCTGACTGCAAGTACTCTGGGAACTGGACAAATCCTGTTGTATCCTCAGCAGATGACCCCATACATACGCTTGGTAGCAGACTATAGGAGCTCACACTTAGCCTGTGCTCTGCAAACATACTAATGGTGTGGTAGACAGCCTGACACATGCTGTGTTAACGATACTGACTCTGTCAGCCTTCCTGTGCTCACCACAGTTTTAACTAGGGAATGGCTGCTTATAAAATATTTCCTGCTCCACCTTTATGGCAGTTATATCACCCACCCCCAGGCAGTATATTTAGCATACACAAACTGGTATTCCAGTCCAAAAATTACCTGGTGCCATGTAAGGAGGAAAGGATGTATATAGGGCATGAATAGTGAAATTAGAGCTCCTCTTTTGACAGCTAATAGTTGCTGGCTGCAGGTTTCAGAACTTAAACCCACATTTTTGGTGTAGATGATTTTATATGCTACTAAGCAGCAGTGTTTTCAGAAAGTCATGGCATAGTATGACAAACCAGCCAAGAGATGAACTGAAAACGCCCTGATGCCTTTTATCTGATGGTCTCTTTTGCACCTTTCAGTATAATCAATAAGCTAGAAGAACATGAATGCTTCTTTCCACCATTTCAAGCTCTCATTCAAGATTTGCTCTGTCTTCTAGGTGAGTAATATTTGCAACAGTTGTAATTCTCTTCATGCCAATGCTTCATTCTAAAACTTTAAATAGCTAACACGTGTTCTGTTTATTGCTGGTGTGCTAAAACACAAGGAAGATGTGAGGCAAGGTGGTGACTTTTGCCTCACTCTCTTTCCATCTTTTCTCAGGAATTGACCCAAATACATTGCTTTCATTGAACATGTGCTTGTCTTGATTCAGTCATATTACTCATAAGATAAGCTAAATAGAATTTTTTTCCAAAAGCATTAGAAAACATGAGGAGTTTATTTTATTTGCTAGCTGTATTTCTAGCATCTAAGTTAGAATTCTGGCTGAACTCAAAGATGTTCTCAATGCACACACATTACTGTTTTGCTTTTTGTTCTGTTTCAGAGATCAGTAACCTGGATGATATTTTACCTACTGTGCAAAAGTTGAAGTTGGCAGCTAGTTAAGGGTTACTCTGGTCTTCTCTAGCAAGATTTATCTTACCTGTGACTGAACACGTTGGTGCTCGTGACATGACAGCTACCTCTGTCCTCTATTACACTAACCAACAGACGTCTGACGTGAATAAAAGCTGCTGCGTTTTTTCATTTTTCTTAATTCTTGGTCAGTTTAAGAAAAACTCACTATAACCGTGGTCGCAGAGAGAGGACCAGTACTGCTCTGTGTCAGCCCAGGAGACTGAACCCAGCCCAAGGCCAGGCGTGCTCTAACCACTAAGCATTTTGGATGTTGCTGGCACAGTAAGCATGAGATAAAGGTGCTCTCGCTGCCTTAGCCGTAACACTTCCATCAGTGGCCTGTCTTGGTTTCATGAAGGGCCTATTCTGAACATGTGAACAACATTTTAAATTGGTTTGGGATGTGAGCAGATTTAAACTGTGTGAGTATTGTTGCTGGTTATGGACAGGCAGACTTAGATTCATGTAATCTAGGCCAAAAGTATTTGAAGCTTGTTTCAGGTCATGGTTTGTGGACTTCTGCCTAGTATGGATATGAAGCTGTATATTTCAAAAGTCAGTTTTAGAAAGGCACAGATCAAGATCCTTATGCAAGACAGAAGTTTATTGTACAGAAACAATACACCAAGCTTCCAAAAATATTTTTGGTATATTTTGCTCTGCTATTAATAAAGCTTACTTTACAAAACTCTGCTGTTCCTCAGGCAGAATGCTTTACTGTCAAGGTTTACAAGATTTTGAAATGTACTGCAACAAAGGACAAAACACGTTAAGGCATCACGAATTAAAACCTTAATGACATCTTGGTGAACTGATCTCCCTCCTCTTGGAAGCTCATATACACATCTGCAGCCACAATCTGCCAAGATACACTTTTGAACAATGGAATATCAATTTCTTAGTTCCTCAAAAACCAGTTGCCATTAGAGTCTTAAACAGTTTCTTTCAATGGGTTCTGTAGCCCTCGAATGAAGAATGCTGTTTAAAATTTATTATTTGAGAAGTATGAGTTTTTCATGTTAAAACAACATGAATAGGATCCTGGGGAAATGAGGCTGCCAAGCAAAGTAACAACTGAGCTGACAGTCTGAAGGATCTCCAGGCACAACACTTCCTTAAGTGTATCCATACTTGAGGGTTCTCTGCAGGAGAGGTGCCAGAAACAGCAAAAATAAAGAACTCCTTATTGAGAGGCAATTTATTCCTAATGTGGGGTGGTTTTGTTTGGGGTTTTTTTTCTGAGTAGGATCCTTAAATTTACATGTCCTGAGCTGGCGACTGCTTCAGATTTGCAGTGACTTCAAAACACATTAATTACAGGAGATATGTACATTCTTACAAAGTTGAAAAATTAGTAACTTATGTACATGAGAAGAAATCAAGTTTTCTTGCGTCTGCTCCTTGTCAGCTCATACCTGCAAGATAGACACAACAAGTAACTATAGCTGTTTCAGGCTTTCTTTAAACTGGCACAATAGAGAGAACTTGGGCTGCTTTATGGCCTGTGCTTCCCAGGTGCCATGCCAAAGGAGCTGCGGGGATGGCCTCAAACTTCAGCCTTCACCAGCAACTTGGGATGCATCCTTTCCTCTTGCTCTGTAATTGCCATATCCCTCTGTGAGGCACACAGGCAAGTGGGGCCAGGGGAACTCAGTTTTCCCACCCTGCCTGAGTGGAGGGCAGGCTTCTGGGCTACCCGTGCTGCATTCCTTGGGTTCCATTGAAAGAGAAAGAAGGAAGAACTACTGCTATTAACTACAGACATAGAAGGGGAAAAAACCCAAACCCTAGTTCTCAGTCTTTGCCTCATTCCAGTGCTTAACTCTGAACCACAATGAACACACAAGCAAAACTGCAAGTGGCTTATTATAATAGCTTCTGTAAATGCTTTGTAATTAAAGTTTTATCATATATATATATATTGCTGATCAGACTATTAATTTAGTTAAGATCTTTACCCAAGTTAAAATTTGTCACAAGGTTGCTTTAATAAACATAATTCTTTTACTTATGTGTCTCAGTGCCTTTCATGGTAACTTAAAATATGCTGGACTATAATTGACATATTAAAGTTGTTTCACAGGGCAGGTATTGCATAAGAAACTGGATTACCAGGCAATTTAGATAAAACTCCCAGATTAGCTCCAAGTTAGTCCTGCGCTTGCAGATCATACGTTCTTGCTCACCAAACCACAGGGCCCCTTTACCAGCACCCCAACAAGAGGTGCACAAGCTCCAGCAAAGCAGGTGGCAGGGTCTGAAAGCGTGGAGAGGAAAACTTACCACTGCGCAAAGCCTTTTATCAAGTCCTCCTGCGACAAGTCAATCCGCACCTTTAAAAAGCACATTTTCTTTCTGTGTATGTTGTTCAGGGTACAGATCGATGAGCTGAGCTAGCACTCCTCCCATGCCAGACCCACTTTAATTTTAGAGCTGCAGCTCAGGCTCAGGAGCTTCCTGAGCTCCCAGGACCTGGTCACTAGCCAGCCTCAGCACTGCCCCTGGCTTTCTTAGTAGCACCACTTGGAAATTTATGTGACAGTGAAGAAGTGATTCCAGTTCACTTTTGTTCACAGAAAGCTTAAAGCACAGCTGGCAAATTCTGGGTTTTATCACCCATCTTTCTGAGCTTCGTGTTTGTGCTACTGGAGCCATTCCCCAAAGGGACAGCAGCAGATCCCAGGAAATGTGTTCTTACTTAAGGAGCACCCTTTTGAAATGAAGCAGCACACAAGTTGTGTGAGAAGCTTCCACATGGATACAGCCTGACTTCAAATAAAAATCTGGCAGAAAGAGTTGTTTCCAAATCGCTAGTCCTACTACTAGGCTTAATCACTAGAACCGTGTTTCAGGATCCCAGGAATCGCTCAGAATGTTCAGCTCTATTAAACCAGAAGTGCAGCTTTGTTAAACTTACTTTCCCCAGCTCCTTCCTGTCCTGTGAAATGAATGGCCTGCTGTTCTTCACAGCAACGTCCAGCGTCCTTTTCTTGACATCTTCCAAAGATTCAAAAAATTCAAACCTAAAAGTAAAGTTTGGAAAGGAGAGACTTAACAATGACAGTCCTGTAAACACTGGTGGCCAGAACTTTAACTAGTGGCCAGAAAAGGAAGGTACAGAAAAGGCAATACTATAGTTAGATTTTATTTGCATTGCAAGAAATCTCTTCCAGGCCTCTTGAAAGACTATGATACTGTTGTTCAGACTGCTCACTGTGCCAGGGGGAAGGAGGAAAACATGCATCCCTGATGAGGTGCTGTTTACGATCATTTTCCCCTTCATGGAAGATTAGCATGTTTTCCGCACAACCTGAATTACTCAGAGGAAATAGCTGAGCCAACCCCCCAAGTTTACAAAGTCGGCTTATACCACATGAAGAGAAGACAAAGGTTGAAATCTGTGACAATTAAGTTCTTAATGGCTCCGACTCATGCCTCTGGCACACATCATCTGACGTCAAGTGAGTTTTGTCCATGCTACATCACTGCCGTTCTGCCCACCTGAATAGCTTTTCCTCAAGTCAGAGTTGTAAAACAGGTAATGTGTTTTGGAGCTAAGTATTGCTCCACCTATTATACTTAATGAGGATGTACAGGACATGTCAATACCGAGGATGAGGAAAAAGTGATGCTGTTCTAACAGCTGTGCTGGCACTAAATCAGTGGCATTACATGAGAATAGTAATCCACCACTAGTGTTTCAGATGAAGTATTTTAAAATCTTTTCTCCATTTCTGACCTGTACTGACATGTACAGGAAGGACCCAACACAGGAAAACCAAGCCACCCAGGACCCCCCAGTACTCATGTATGTGTACCTTCCTCTAAATACGGGGTTAAAATGGCCTCTCAAAAGAGCCCTAAGCAGTACTGTGTTTGGTTTTATACGAAACACATTCCAGTTCAGTGGTGGAGCTGCGGGCATGACACTGTCAGCAAAGAGGTGGGAGCATTTCACTCTCCTCCCACCAGGTCTTGATGAGAACATTCATCTGTCTGTCTGAAGGAAGGTCCAGTCTCAAAAGGCTTTGTATTTCTGCCTTTGATTTTTGGAAAACTGTCAAATAAGTGTCAGGCAAAAAAGTACAAACTGAGAAAGTGGCTCTGTGAGGTATCTGTGAGGTAACGGAGAACTTGCCTCTGCAATAACAGGGAGTTAAACACGGGGAGGGAGATAGATGTCTGTGTGCAAAGCAGCAAGCACATGCTGCCCCTGCTAGGATCGGGGAAGGGGTGGGGACAGACACCACCACAGACAGACCGAGGCCAGCCCTAAGTACTTGCAATCACAGGGTGCTGGTGTTTTTCGTAAGACCTGCAAATGTTCACAAGACAATCCTTAGCAGCACCAGGCACAAACCCTACATATGCCCTTTCATCACACAGAGATTGTAACTATTTCAGCAACAATCATAATTAACGTTTTCTTACTTCTCATCATATTGGGGGTTCAGAGTCTTTTTCTTAACGGAAGTCTTCTTCCTGCTTGTCCATCTTCTATCTGGAAGCAGGTATATACGAACATATGGATCTACTCCACGATTGGAAGAGGGTACTAAGTTTCTGTTAAAAGAAATACACTGCTGACAAGCAAGGCACATTCTCGCACTGTGTCTTCATACCTTGTCTGTCAGAATCAGATTAATGCCTCATGGGTTCATGGGCTAGAAACATTTATCTTGGGAATTGGAACATAAGCAAATAAAACTTTCAGCAAAATTTTCACTACTTGAGTGTGTGGTCACCTACTGGGGTTCCTAAATTAACATTAACAAATTCAGTCATAGGTATCCAATCCCCGCCATGATGCCTGCCATGACATCCCAAGACACGCACCAGTTGTCAGTGCAGGTCAGAGGTAGTTTTGGGTGGATGAAAGGTAAGGTACCTCTGGTGCAGTGAGCACTACTCACTGGCCACTTGCACAGACCTGTTACGGGCATTGACCAGAGCTGGACGTAGCAAGGCTGCACAGACTGAAGCCACCCAGCGCTGAGGCATCTCAACTGGGCAGCTTATGCTGCACATGGTTCTGCCCCAGCTTTACTGACTGTCTGATAAGCTCAGAGCTCTTTACATTTTCCTTTACAGACACAGCAAGCACTTGTCAGCGTTACCTGCAGCCATTCACCAGCACGACGAGACTCTGCCGTATTGAAGCGTACCGCACCGTGAGCTGAATTTCTCCCAGAGGCATTTCGGTCCCACTGTAAGACAATTGCACAATCAAAGCTTTTAAACACAACTATTTAGCTGACCACACGCACAGGCCTAGCAGCACAAAACAGGACACAATATTGGTGTTGCATTTTCAACTAAAACTGACTTTTGGGCACTATTCTTTCTGGCACCCTAAGGTTTGATGTCTAGAAAGCAGCTGGAGCAGAGAGATTCCACAGAAACAATGCTCCCGTTGGTGCCAGCACTGCCTAGCCTGCCTTCTGCACAAGTATCCTATTTCAGTACCTGAGTACAAACAGCCAAAACTAGCACTTATTTGGCCTGCTGTAGATGGAGCAGCAAAGTACAGGTGAGCATGTTACACAGCTCCTTCAAGGACATCAGTATTTGCAAAATGGGACCTTTTTTAGATTTCATTCTGCATGTCATTAAAGCGGTTTCCAATCCTAAACCATTGTTTTAAAATGGTCTACAAATGGTTTCTAAATGAGGCCCTGTTCAGAGCTAGAGGATTTGCCAGTCCATAAGTGCTAGATTGAGCAGCTGGAGCTGGGGTTGATGTCCAGGTTTATAACTGCCCTGATGCTCTCTTAACTGAGGTGGACCTTCTTTGCTACTTCAGCTCATGAAGGATTCTACTAACTCTATTCTGCATCCCAGGAGAGACAGATCCAGCTCTCCATCCTCCTTGATGGAGCCAACTACCGGCAGCCTCACACTTACGACAGTGCGAAGGACGCACACACAAGAGCACCTAGCCACAAAAATTTTGCTCACAGCATTGTGGAAGTCTTAAAAGTTTTTGTATAAAACACAGCATCCAAAACTTTAAGCAGCCAGATAATGCTTATCAAGATCTTATGTTTTTACAGAAATGGGATATTCGGTCTTCCAATATCCTGTTGCTAAAATCATGAGTGTTATGGGACCCAGGATATTCTGTGTGAGAGGCTCTTAAACAATATAAAGTAAACACAAGCTGCACCTCTTAGGAGAGCCAGAGAAGGAAACACTTTCACTTCGCACCTGATCTGATAGTGACCTTATAATTTACTTTGCTGTTGACTGGAATACTTAGGTCAATATTTCATAAGGTGATTTGAGACACAAAACTCCAAATGACTTAGTAATCAACCATGTGCAACAGTGAACTGTAAACCCTAAACCTTTCCAGACAAGAACAATTCAGCTGGAAGAACACCTACTTATGAAGTTCCAGATTGCTGCTACTTAATTCAAAGCAAGAAGAAGGCAGAGAACCGAGCGAAGCAACACTGGGCGCAAGCCTCAGTTCCTGTACAACTGGCAGCGTGGGTGCTGCCGCTGCTCTGCTCTGCGGTGCTAATGACGGGTGATGCTCTGGGTTTTGGCTGTGCTCTGCTTCATTAGGGTCAGCAACAGTTTCACTTGGTACCGGTGCTGCTGACCCATCCTTTGTGTCCAGGTCTTCTCTGCTGTCCTTTTTCAGCAGCGATTCTAGCACTGCAGAGTCTTTGCTCACTGGAGGTACTTTTGAGACTTCTGGGTCTGCTGGGGAGACAAACTTTTGCTGGTTTCCACCCTTCTCAATGACATGCACAGGTCCTTGCTTTGAGGCACTGACAGCAGCCTTGACTCTTTGTGGGTCAGGTTCTTCAACATTCAGGGTCTAAAAATCACAAAGGAGATGAATGAGTGCTGCTCCCAAAGCACCAGGGTTAATGCCAGCATTACCGCCTAGGGTGAAATTTCACCATGAAACCGTAACAGCATGAATCTGCCACTGGAAGTGAAGGAGGCCTATGGGATTAGCTGTGGTGATCTCTTCCCTTGTCCTGTGTGTATGTATTTAACGCTGTCCAAACACTAATGCAGAGCACAATGAGAAAACAGTTCCTAAACATGTGTCTCCCTTACTATTTAGCAGCTTTGATTGCACCAGCTTAGATTTTCTCAGTCCAAATCTTCATTGTCATGAGAAGGTGTTCAGCAATGACACTGCGCTGAGTTTTAAGGAAGCCTCAGGGATACATCTGAGCTCCACCATGAACTCTTAATGGCACTTAAAGTGCTTCTCACAATTCTGTTTTCCACTCGTCTGTGAAGCAAAGCTGCATTTCTCCACACCCCACCTTTCCCCCGTCTCTTTTGCTTGGTTAGAACTGGGTGTTTCCACCGGGGAAGCGGAGTGAATATGACAAAGAACAACTTACCCGCAACACAAGTTTCATCTTAATGAAGCTGTCTGAACTGGAGTGGTCCAGCTGAAATCTTTGATCCAGAGTCATGTTTGGGTCCTTAAGTAAGTGTGAGAGACCTACCACTGAAGTTCCCAGGGTACTGTCCCGATCCTTGTCTTTTATCTGGGAGGAGAGGAGAGGGAATTATTAGATGGCAAGCTGGAAAGCTACCACTGGGAATAGCAAAGCAAGAAGGTATTTCAGACAGAAACCAAAATTAACTTATTTACTCCAGGACATACGATAAAGCATGGTTACTTCCAAATGGGCTATGCCAATATTTCAGGACTGCAACAAATTAGTATGTTTGAGAAAAAAATCCCATCTCTAACTATGCGGAGAAGGAACTGCCTTAGCAGGCCCCAGCATTTATTTGGCTTTCCTTACTTACTTGGGGGAAAATGTCCCAGGCACCTGGGATGACAACTGGTGTTTACAAGCTTTTTAGGTAACAGTTTGTTTAGCCTGTATCCTCAGTACTCCTTCTAAGTTGAAATCCATTTCTGTAGCCAAGTGAACAGCCATAGGACTGGCTGCGACTGCAATGTATGCTGGTGAGACACAGGATTTCTTAGTGAGCTGAAACACCAACGTGAAGAGATTGAACTCTGGCTGGGAATTACGAAGGCTGCAATTTCTGACAGCAAAATATTAGTGGAATTACTGCACACAGACATGTACAAAAACTCCTTTGCACATGATCCTAGAGCAAAGGTAGATACCAGCGTCACCTAACAGAGAACCGCCCATGCAACAGCAGATGGTTCTTCCACCTTTTAAGTAGGAGTACAAGCACACAGAAACAACTAACACTGAGATCACATCCACCACAAAACAGGTTTTTTGCTAAGGTTATGCACTTGGTCTTCAAAGGAAAGGCTTTTCTCTCACCTCAACATGGAGTGACTGGGAATGAGCGCTATGAACAAAGAAGGTGAAAGCCTGGCCCCATGTTGGATCTTTGCTGAAATTGCAGGTCTGCAACAAGAAGATTGTGGCACATATGTCAGCTTATTCTGTAAACAGAAAAGAATTCCACGACACTGGTCACCAGACAGGTGACCCTCTTGTTTTAATCAGTGATGCTACACCCCAGCTGTATCGAGACAGTGAAATTTCCAGGTCAGAAGCGTGCAGAAGCAAAGTCTCTGGCAAAATCAGAACAAGTTCTGTGGGACGTGGAAATGCCGACAAACAAGTCTGGTGAGCTGCAGTTGGCCCCAGCCAGCGCAGCCTGGACCAGCAGCCTACCTCACCTGCAGCAAGGCACTGCTTCCTCCCTCCCACCCTTCCACCAAGAGAGTGACAGGCGGCTGCTTCCAGCCTGCAGGCACCCACAGCTGGCTCCCAAAGCTGCAGCGAGCTGGTAGGGAAGGGTAGGAAAGCTAGAGGGGTGGTTTGGTGGGTGTAGAGCTTGTGGACAGAGTGTACAGATTCAGAGGCGTCGC